GAAAGAGAAAGTGAAGATGACGGTCAAAGAAAATATGGTGAAGTTTTTCAATAAAAATGAGAAATTATCTGATTAGGAGGGTATAAGCGTAATTGCGCTTTCAATTCTCACTAAATAAGTGACACGTGGCAATTCCGTCACTTATTGTAATAGAATGGGAAAACTTATTAATGGAACAAAGTTCGGGGAAAACGAATGTCACTTTTTAAAATTTAAGAGACATAGTGTTAAAATGGTCATAGTTCAGGAGGACTTTTTGAAATTAATCATTTATATTTTTTTATCCTAGCAGAGAAACTCTTAAAGAAAATTTATAAAAGAATAATGCTAAGAACACCAACTTAAATCTCAATTTTTGTATACTAACTGATGTGGCATATGAGCATGTGCTTAAAATATTACCATTTTAATTAATTAAAAAAATTACATCTACTAATAAAAAAATGATAATACATATATCACATCAATTAATATTGTTACTTTTTTATTAAGCTACTTCTTAAGGCTGCTTTATCATATCGTCACTATGAGAAATACGCGACTCCCATTGTTTGAAGTCAATGCTTTTACAAATAACCCTTTTAGTTGGTTTGGCACATTAGATGATTGCTCAAACAATTTAAAAAAAAAAAAATTTTGAGGCAAGATTTGGCAAATAATAATAATATATCTAACCAACAATTCTTAGAGAAAAAGAAAATCAAAATAAAGTGTTGGTTGTTACTCTAAATTAGAAAGAAATCCTTCCTCGGTTCTGGCTCAATTTTCAAGTTAGCAGACGAGAGGCAAGACAAGTGGCTAAAATTCTATTGTGGACATTTCCATGTTCGTTAAAGTTCGACCAATTCGAAATAAGATCTAAATTATAAAATGGGAAAGATTGTAACCCCCCAAAAGAGGATGCATTGTGCTAGAAGCCAAGGCGGAAAAAAACTTAGGATACATGTCAGCAAATGCGTATTTGACAAGCAGATCGCTACAATTGTGGGGTTGACTATATCAAAGCAACTAATAACTATTTGCTGGTTTTTACTAAGCTAAGCAAATGTACTGGTGTGTGATTTGTTTCTCAAAGGAATGTTGAATTTTGGAACCACAAAATTCAGGGTGCTACTTCCTAGGAAAATGTGCTTATGTTGTTGTACAATCACTTGCTTGAATCAAATGATGATTTATTCTTCTCACAACTCCCATGTAGCTGGTTCATTTCGTGATTTTAAGTTTTTAATTTTAATTTTATTATAATTAAAAATTATTATAAAAAATCACATTTAATTTTTTTTTATTACAGATTAAAACGTTCATATAAAATCACATATCAATTCGAATTAAACGATGACATACTTTTAAAAAGATTCAACAGTATTTTTTTTAAAAATTTAAATTTAACTTTTTTTATTACAGCACTAAAGAGATACAAATAGTTTTTTTTTATTACAGATTAAAACGTTCATATAAAATCACATATCAATTCGAATTAAACGATGACATACTTTTAAAAAGATTCAACAGTATTTTTTTTAAAAATTTAAATTTAACTTTTTTTATTACAGCACTAAAGAGATACAAATAGGTGTAAATTCTGGCATCATCACAACCCACTTATTGAATTGTGACCTGTATTGAGAAAAGAACGAATGTCCCTGTAGTATACTACTATGAAAGACTGAAACAACATTTGAAGTGCGTAACAATGATTTTGAAAAACAGTATGTAAATACTAAATGCATGATTTAATAATCTTTCTAAGCGGAAAAAAAAGGAAAGAAAAGATGATTTAATGAAAGAGTACTAGTGCAGTTCTACTGAGTCATGCACTTGTTTCTAATTTTCCCGTTTGTTATGTAATCCTTAAAGTTGCATATTTTTTTTTTTTTTTTTCAAAAGTACATTATTATTGTTTCTTTTCTTTTTTTTTTTTTTCATAATAATCACTTGTAACCAATCGTGTTGATTTTTGCCAGCAAGATAAAGCTAAGGCAGAGTTAGGGATATTTCGGTTTTTTTAACCGAATATTCTGTAGATATTTCTGTTTTTTTAACCGAATATCTCTATAATTCTCTTCTTTTAAAAGAGCTAAATACTTTTACTCTTTTAAATAATGTTAAAGATATCATCTCCGATCTTAATTTTTGTATCAATTTTAAGTTGTTTTCTGATAGATGTTTAAAAGACATTGACATCAATTAATAAAGAAATTGTATTCACTAATAAAATTAGAATAATGTTGAAATTAGAGTTGGTTTTATAGTATTTCTTTTTTTTCCCCCTCTTAAAGGTAGAAGCTGGATATTTCTGTTTTCAGTATACATATTTGGATATCTGTATGTATTTGTATTCCTTGGACATTGGGATCTCAAAAACTCAACCACTAATCCTGACCGTCCAATTGAACAGCTAAAGGTCCTCGCATGAGTACACGTGCTGCCTATCTTTTCTCCCCCTTTTTTAGTCTATTGCTTCCATGCATGGAATTCTCCTCCAACTACAACAACTCAAACAAGAGAGCAAGAAGAGAGAGAAACCGAGTCTAGAGAGAGAAAAACACCAAAAGAAAAGAAAGAATGAGTCATATGCTTCACCAGCTCTGATTGTTCTTCTCCTTCCCCTTATTATCATGCCCTTCCCAATTTTCATCTCCGTCCTCCTTAAATTCTGATTTTTTTTCCTTCTTCTTTGCAAAAATTCAAAAAAAAAAAAAAAAAGGAATTAAGAGGGACCCTTTTGTGTGGGTCGGATCTCGTACTTGACAAAAACTATCACATCTAAAACACACTTCCATTCTCATCTGCACCCAAAAAAAGAAAAAAAAACTTACAACTTTCATGATCCGTCTTTGAAGGTTACAACTTTCTCGATCTAGAATTCTAGTTTTGTCACTTCCTCTGTTCCATTCACCATTTATTTGGGCTAGAGAGTTCGACCATGGAATGTGGCATTCTTCAACCAGATACAAGGTAAACTCATCATCCGTTAACTAATGATTCTCTTCCTCTTTGGTTTTTGACTTTTTTTCCGAGCTTTTTTCATCATGGTGTCGTCATATTATCAGGACCCATGTGAAGAAAACTGAGATTTCAAGTGAAGAAGTTAGTAGGAAACTCAAGAGTGATGATCAAAGTGTTAGAATGAGCCAGAAAAATTCAGGGTCTGATTTAGCTGCTAATTATGTGCTTAGAGAGAATCCCAAGAAGACAAAGAGGTTTGGAGATTCAAAGGAACAAAAGGTTTGCAAAGAATGCGGCAAAGGGTTTCAATCTTTGAAAGCGCTTTGTGGTCACATGGCTTCTCACTCGGACAAGGACAAAATGGTGAAGAAATTTCAGGAGCAGAAGCTGGTAATGGATGGTCACTCAGATACGGAGACCTCAGGACCAAGGCAGAAAAGAAGGGTTTCTAATAAGAGAATTATTAGGTACAAGAATCTTGATGTTTACTCTGGCTCTTCTTCTGTCTCGGGAATCGAGCAGGAGCAACAAGAGGTGGCTATAAGCTTGATGTTGTTGTCTAGGGATTCTGGTTACAAAGGAGGTTTGGATTTGAATTTGAATTCTCTTGCGGATTCTTCAGATAACAACTCAGTGGTTTTGGAGGCCAAATCGTCTTCTATTGATATGAATATGAACAAAGTCGCCAACTTTGACGAGGAGAAGTTGAAATCTGGTGTTGGGGCTAGTGTTTCTGAGAATTCTGATTCTGGGTATTTCAGAAATGGGCCAAAGAAGATTGAATCTGATGTTTCTGTTGATGGGTTTCTCAAGAATGGGGAGTTTAGGAAGCTGGAAGTAGAATCAGGATCTGGGATTGGTGCCAATAAGTTAGGGATTAGTGATGAAAAATCTGGTCAATTGGGAAAGAGAATATTGGTGGATGAGGAAGAGAAAGATGAAGAGAATTGTAGAGGCTCTTCTAAGTATGAGTTGAGAAAGAGAACCAAGAATGGGCTCTATAGAGGTGAAGCTTTGATGGAGTCTTGCAAGGATGAGTCTAATTATGCTTTCAAAAGTGAAATATGCAGAAATTTTGAGAAGAGAAGCAAATATGAGTGTTTGACTTGTAACAAGACTTTCAAGTCTCATAGAGCTCTTGGGGGACACAGAGCAAACCATAGTAAGATCAATGGCTGCTGCGAACCGATATGCGAGAGCGGTGAGAACAACATAGAAAATGATAACAGCACACCTGAGGAGGCCAAGATCATTGAGAATGGTGCTGGGAAAACCCCAATCAGAGAGGATTTCATTGAGAGGAAATCGGGTTCGAAAAAGAGCAGGGGGCATGAGTGCCCAATATGCTTCAGAATGTTCAAGTCAGGCCAAGCTTTAGGTGGTCACAAGAGGTCCCATTTTGTTGGAGGTCGTGAAGCAAATAGTACTATGGTGATCAGAGAGGAAGAACCCCCTGAGGCTGAGATAACAGTACTTTTTGATCTAAATCTTCCGGCCCCGATGGAGGAAGACAACAATGAGGATGTTGAATTCATGGCATGGTAGGTTCAGCGACACAACAAGAATGAGCTTTAATTTTGTGGTTTAATTCTTACTTAGAAGTGCCTTTTTTTTTTATTGTTTCCTGATGAAAGTTCATTTCAGGATTGTATAGACTAGTCTTTTTTGTTCTCCAACAATGTCTTCACAGAGATCATGATGGTTTCAGTTTCTTGTTCATTGTTTTCATTTTGGTTCTGTTTGATTTCGGGGGGCAAAAAAAAAGAATTCAGTTAGATGATCAATTTCTTTCAAGTATTAGAACTAGATTCTATGTTACTTCTTAGAAATTGATATATTGTGTGAAATTCACTTGGAGCCATCGTTTTCATCTTGCTAAGCTAGTGGCAAAACGACAATTTTCAACCCCCAGGAAAGTGGGTGTTTTGCAGAAAGAAAAAGACTAAAATGGCTTTCCACTTAAATTGTTTTATAACCGGCTTTATTTTGAAGTCCTTTTGGCTTCTTTTTGTAACTATTCAGATCGTGAAAACTATAACCATTTTCGCTGTTCAAAGTGTGTTCTTTCTAAAAGAATCAAGGACCACACCTGCTTTACAGGGAAATGTTGAAAAGTGCTCCTTAAAAATGTTGGGAGGGAAGTTTCCTTTTGAAGTTACATGCCTAATACAAATGTGTCTTCACAATCATATTTTATATATTATCTTTGTACTTACAATTGTTGCTTTGAGCATATCCGCACTTAAAAACAGTTTTTAACCTAAAAAGGACATGATTCCCAAGTTGCATTTCTAGCAAATATTCTCTAAAACAGTTCAATATAAAGGAACAATCCTTTGTGCCCTTCTCTATTCCAATATGTATAAACCAAAAGATGCTCATGGGCTTGTTATGGAAGAAGGCTTTCAAGTCCTTTCTCTCAGCGAACATAATGCAAATTGTCCTTGAAAATATCCTGTTACACCGATTAGATCTACTTTTCATAGAAAGAGGAATATACAAAACAATAGGGTAGTTGGGCAAATCTTAAATTTGAAGGTAGGGATAATTAGTCTGTGGAATCATTAGGAATCAGAGTCAGATGCACTTTTTATTATTGGAGAAGAAAAAAATGGGGTTCAATTGGTGGTTGAAAAAGGACCTACTTTTAAGGCATAACAGTTGATAATCTTACTGTAATGTTATGTATATTTATGTCTCCTTTTCTTTCTCCTCAGATTTACAAGGGTCGGTTGAGTATTTACTTGACCCTTTATTTTATTCTTCACACTATTTATTGTTTCCTTTTCCGTTCTATTATCTAAGCTGGTGAGTGTTTTCTTAAGAGGGCTTCTTTTCTTGCCAATGAAAGGGGATAGAGTAAAGAGTATTGAGCTAGCATCAAGCCGAATCAAAAACCACTTGATTGAGTATCCAAATGCTTTATAAAGATGGACTTGTGAACTCTTATGGCCTGGAGTCGGTTTGTATCATATAGGATCAAGAGCTACCTGTGAAGGAGAGACCTTCTCTCTCTCTCTCTCTCTCTCTCTCTTCCCCCTAAGGTTGTGAAGATAGTAACTTAAGTACTTTATAAATACATAATGATTGTTGTCCCAATTATAGTTTAAAAACCAATGCCAAGAAGAGCTTTGATGGGGTGCTCAATGCATCAAATTTAAGAAAAGTTTTTAAGTAAACGCCTCAAGAACAAGAGATGTAACCAAAAAGAACTAATCAAAAATTACAAAATCTTCCCTGTATTTAAGCAAAATATGGTGTACAATTTTGTATTCTGAAAAATCGCGAAGTAACATTTTCGAATGTCAATTTCTTAAAAGTCTCACCCTCAATGTCACGTTTTGTCAAAATTGAACATTAGGTATTACTTCCAAAAGAGGTTAGGAATAATTGTGTGGACATAGATTAGTCATGGTGGACATGATATTTTGGTTAGTCCGCTAAAGTTGTCAAAGGAGTAGAATTGTAATGGAATTAACAACATCAGAGGATAAGTTTGAAATTTTGAGAATACAAGGTTGAATATAGTATTTCACGTAAACTTGGGGAAAGATTTTTGTACGTATTGCTATTAGAGGAATATGAATGCCAACGTTCATGTCCATTGATTTTTGGTATTTGAGCAACAATGGACGACAAAACCCATAACTATTCTAGAAATACTTGGCGGTAAAGTGGTGGCTCAAAGTCAAAAAGAACTTTTGTATGTTCTCTTGCTGGATCTAGACCGACATATTATAATTCAATCTCTAAAGGACTAAAGTTTATTTCTCAAGAAAAGAAATTGGGAAAGACAACTTCAACTAGTGCATTAGTTTTAAACCTTGTGAATGATGGTTTGTGATACAAGAATGAGAGCTTCACCAAAACCTGGTTTTCCTTTTATATTATATTAAATGTTTTTGACTTTCCCTAATGACTGATGTGCATGTTTGTGGTCAACTTTGTTGTTGTTATTTTATGAAAAATGTCTAGAGATATTATCGGTGTTAAATACTATTATTAATAAAAGATAAGTTTTTACTGTGTGTTTTATGTGCCGAATAGTCGTTTGTGTAAATTTCAGGGGGCAGATAGGAAGACTAGTGAGGTTGGGGGATAAGGTTAGGCACTTTCAAAATTATGTTGGGCTGTCGTTTTCTCCTCAAAACATTAATTAAGAAAAAAAAAAAAAACAGTTTCTACTTCTTTTTCGTTATTATTATTATTTTTTTTTTCAAAACTTGAAAAAGCTAGTCACCATGGTTATGGAGCTTAAGACGCTAAATGGATATTAGTTAAAATTCATTTATTTTTTGATTAATCTCACGAATAGTCGTCGAGGTTTACTCTCAATTCTATTTTAATTTTTGACTTTTAAAATGTTACACAATTGGTCTTAAGAGCTTATTTTATTTCAGTTTCGGTCATTCCGTTAGTTAGGTGTTAAATATTTGACAGAAGCTGTAAAAATTGTGAACTAAAATTGAAAACATCTAAAACTTAGAGACTAAAACAATACAAAAAAATAAACAAATAAAACAAAAAATAATTTTTACAAATAATTTCTAAATTTTAACTGTTTTCAATTTTAGTCTACAATTTACACAGATTTCGTCAAATATTTAACACTCAGCTAAGAAAAGAACCGAAAATAAAATAAAATTAAACTTTAAGAACTAATTGTGGGATATTTTAAAAGTCAGAGTCCAAAATGAAATTAAAAGTAAATTCGGAGACTATTTGTAAAACTAACTCTTTATTTTTTAATTTTTTTTAATTTTTGAGAACTAGGAAGTTTATTATGTGTTGATATTCCTAGATTTCCTTTGGATCGGGTTATTAATGGTAAAATCACAAAAAAAAAACCTACAGGAATCCCTCATAAGAGATTTCTGCTCTTTTCTAATTATGATGAGCTTTCCGTGATCATTTCTTTAATATGAATGAATATTAACTTAAGGAGAATAACATTTAAAAACAAAATCCAAAACTAAAGAAGTTCGTATGAGCACATCCTCTAAAAATCATAAGCTCTTCCATTCTTATCAGATTCACTTTACCCGAAAAATATGTCAACAAAATAATGACGAGTCTATTTTTATTTTATTTTAAGAAAATAAAGAAAAAAGATATAAATATCATTTAAAATGTATGAATTTAGATTTTTATCTTTTATTTTTAATTAATATTTTTTAAGTTAAATAATTATATCAGTTTAAAAAAGTAAGTAAAAATTTAGAGTCCAGATTTATGCAAATTCACCAATTTTTTGAAAATAAATATGAAAGATGTTATAAAATTTTTTTAATTATTTATTATTTTTTAAAACTTTTTTCTTTGCTGAATAAATATTATTTTTTAAAGTTGGTTATTGGCGAAAGTTTCCTAGCTAATCTTCCGGTCGTGCTTTTGACTTGTTCTTGACTAATCCTTCTCTAGTTTTTCGTTGTTTGAAGGCTCACTTTTCGCTGCTTGAAGACTCTAAACTTACAAAAAAAAATATTTCAAGAAAAAATAAGAAAATATGAAATGTAATATGATATTTATTATTTATTTAATAAAAGAGTTTATTTATTATTTTATGTGTATATATTATTAAATATTTTATGAATATCATTAAAAGTTTTATGATTATTTATGTGACTTTAAATATTATATATAAGTGTTATATGTGAGAGAATAATATTTAAGGATAATAATTAAAATGATGTGCGTGATGAATTTAATTAAAATTCAGAATCTTTAAATTAAAATATTACTAATACATGTCATTTTCATTTAGAATGGAACGGTGTTATCCGCACTGCTAATATGGAGAGATATTGAATTAGTGTATTACGCATAATGAGATTATATGAAACAAGGACATAAACACAATATGAATTTCTGATAATTTTCGTTAAGTATAAAAATTCTAATTGAGTCTACCGAAAGTCCTATACTGTGACGACCCTAACTAAGTAGTCATCTCTTAAACTCACTAACATGTAATCACTTAAAATACTTTAATTAATTAAACTAAAATTTGCAAATTTTTTTATATACCATATAATAAAGGGAAATAAACTTAACTTTAATATTAAATTAACAGATATTAAACTTTAAATTATATAAGAAGTCTCAATCTTCTTAAAACCAAACTGCATACATACAATTAAAAAGTCTTATCATAACAAAACATATTGCAGAACTAAAATGCGAATGGTATCCATTTTCCATTCTCCATATTGCTCGCCCGCTGTTGCACAAAGTCTATCATTCACCTTTCATTAGTTGTTTTCCTACAGTATAAATGCATCCTAAGTGTGACGACCCTAACTTTTGATTATCATCATATGTTCATACTTAACATTACTTAACCTCTACTGCTTTCTAATTATAACCTCTTAAAAATTCAAGTTAATTTTTTTTTTTTTACCATTCATACGTCTAAATATTGTAGCATTTTACCAGCATTTTATTTTCAACCATTCATACGTCTAAATGCTTTAGCATTTTGCTAGCGTTCTGTTTTCAACCATTTATACATCTAAATGATGTAACATTTTGTTACATTAATCATACCTTTGGACTAGAGGTTGCTATGCCTAGTCTCACTGTCTCGTAAACTCAACTTTCGTTACATAAGTCATCTATATTTATAAAACACTATTTACTTTTTACACATAAAGTTCACCAGCGTTTTCAAAACACGTGATGCATCCACAACCCACTTACCCACACTCCGCTGCTACATCCTCTCTGCATGCCTAGCAACAAGTTT